TTTCAATTGTGGCAAATGCACGTGCTCAGTAGAAGTTTTTAAACTTATATGCATAATCAATGTTTTCGCATTTTTTAGCTTTTTTCTAAAATGATAACAATTTCTGCATTCATGTTGGATCTTTATCACCCTATAAAACATACTCTTTCGTTCTTTATACACTACATGTTAGATAGACATTCACTTTTGGTCTCTTCTATCGAATGCCATTGCATTATAAATTGCATTTATAATGCTAACATCATTGATGATATTAGTAAAGAGAAGGGTGACCGTGCAATCAAGATAAGTTGTTATTCAGACCTAGAAAACACTTTTATATAATATTTCTCTTCTCATTTATTTCATAAATGATTTACATAACCTATGGACTTTCTTTATACTAAATACTCCAGTTTCGAATTCTCCAGTGCTCTGTGTTATAGCCTCATTTGTGCGCAAAATATTCCTAATTGTGAGAATAAAAGTGTGAGATTTTAAATCAATTCTATTGTCTTTCTTCACAAGATTCCATGCGTTTTCTCGAGCTATCTATGGAACAAAAGAATATGTTACTTGGTTTTGAGGCTAACACAGAGCAAAACAGAACTCGAAATTGGAGTATTTGAATACGCAGTCCACATTGGATGAACTTTCTTTATACTCATTTTCAATACGCATCCAAATTGGATTTAAATTCATTGAGCTCCTTCTTTGTTTTAAATTGAGGTGCTGGTACAGCTATTGTTATATTCAGTTTATTTATTTTAACGGGACTTTGATGGGTTCTTTCATTAACTGCATAACTAATGACGTATTTGTGATTCAAAACAGTATCRTTATTGTTTCGTGTGTGTTGTATTGTGAATATYTTTGTTATGTTGATTGTCGTCCATTGTATCAACGTTTTTCTTGTTTGTCTTGTCACTCTTGTTTGTAATTCATTAGTTGAACATAGTGTTATTCCACAGAAAATTTTGGCGACTCTAGTATTTTTTGTTGCTTTGTTGGAAATATGGAGAAATTCAATTTTCAAGTAACAACTCTCAATGTCAGAGGAATGCGTACTTTTAAGAAACGTAAAAAAATGCTACATTGGTTTTCTAAACACGAGGCTTCTAAGGTTGACATGTTTTAATATAAAACTGCCTGCCCTAAATTTAACATCAATAGTTATCGGTCCTTGCTCTTGCTTTAACTTTTCGCTGTTAGAGAATTTTATATT